TATTGTTTTTTAAGTTAAAACTCCAATATTTTTATAGGAGTAAGAACTAATGATATAAACTATTCTCTTAATTTATATAGAAAAATATAAAAATTGATATAAATTTTAGCATCACTATTAATTGGATGAATTTAATTAGACAATTGTTAAAAGTAATATCAATTTTTATTTTTTATGTTAATAATCCCAAAAATATAATAAATACACCCAAACATGTGTATAAAGAGTTCATGATTTGATTTAATTAGTGGTTAGGTAACATATTGAAACTATATATTTTAAGGGGAAAAAAAAGAAAGAAACATATATATGCTTTTTTTTGGTAAAAGTTAAGGCTATTTAATAACGTTGTTATTAATTTTTTGTTTTTGTTGTAAAAATTTGAATGACATTATATTAAATAACAAAACTTAGTTATTTCTTATAAAAAAAATTAAGCTTTATTTAATATGATTGTATTCTTTTCATTTTTTCAAAAAATTAAAAAACTCTCTAATAAAATTATCAAGTTTTATTTAAAAAAAAATTAAGCTCTTACTTTTTAGTATTAGTTCTAAAAATTTATACTCAATAAGTTAGCATTTTATTTTATTTTTTTCAATTGTCAATTTCAATTGTTTAAATTTTGGCAACCAAAAAATCAAAAATAAAAAACTACAACCATATTAAATGGAATTTTAGTTATTAATTTTAAAATTTTATACTTAACAAGTTGCCAATTTTAGGTTGGCCAAAGCCCCTATTTGCACCCTCCATTTATTTGTTTTCCGTGGTCAACACCTTTCAGAATTTTTCCTCCCTATTTACACCCTCCACTTTTTAAAATCCGTGAAAAACCCAATATTTTCACGAGTCGTCACGGCACCGTTAATAACTGTTAACAATTGTAATACGTGGCATTAAACAGTAACATAATCCAATGTGAACTTTTTTTTTTTGATGATATGGCATAATTAAACCATAATTAATTTTAATTTTTTCATTTTCTTCTTTTCTGCATCATCTTTACCATCTTCCTCTTCATCCTCCTGGGTTCCTCATGGAACCAGGAACCCAGACCTTTATGTCACATTTATTAATCCAATGTTGAACTTTTTTTTATATGTGTTATAATTAAATCATCATTAATTTTAATTTCTTCATTTTCTTTTTTCTCGGCATCATCTTCACCATCCTCGTCCTCATCCCCTTAGGTTCCTCGCGAAACCTAGGTTCTGAGTTCTTCGTGGAACTTAATAATCTGCACAAAAACATGATAAGCATCTTCTACTCCTTTCCCACAAAAAACGAAAAAAACTCAAATTGG